AAGTAAGTACTTACTAAGAGTAGCTTATTTTTGAAAACGATGATTTCCGAGCGGCGCATTTCTCAACTATAAACCCAATAAAGATGCCAGCCATGAAAAGAAAAAGAGTCTTCGTAGCAGATTATTTCATTGTGTAGATCCACAGCAAAAAGACGGTTAAAACGTAATAAGACGAAACAAAGCTCTGTCAGCTTCAGCTATCAGTAAACAAGTTTCCAGATGCTGCAGAAATTTTCCACATGAACTCACCTGTCAAATTTTGACCAATCTGAGATAAAAATGGGTTGTAGAAAGTGACCAACCCGTGACCATGCTAAACAAAGTTGAAGTCCAAGTCCAGCCGCTGGCTCAAAAGCACAGAACTTATTTCATGTGCTGTTTCCGTTATAATTAATAATGTTGAGACCGCGATCTTTTGAAAACTAAAAACTTGTCAGCGGAAGACTTCAAAAAAGTAAGTAACTTCAATGGGCCAAGACTTGGGCTCATTGATAAGGTCATATGGAACTGGTGAGCAGATACCCTGTTTTGACACTTGATCATAACATGAATGTGCAATATCATCCCACACGAGCTTACTACCAACATTTCTCGAATGGCTAGGATCAAATTTTCTTAGAACAAAACCGAATGCAAGGCTGGCAATACGGCGAAGGGCTGATTTATTTGAGGCCAATATTTCGGCTAACAAAATTAGCCTTCAGTAGTGGATAAGGCACCGAATTAACCTTTTCTTTGCGGGGGAATTTCATTAACTTCCGGGGGAATACATTAACGCCGGTGACGTCATATATCTCTTTAAGGTAGGATGATGTCATAGTTTACATTAATGCCGATGACGTCATGCATTTCATTAAGATAGGATGATGTCATAGTTTATTTTTAGCTGGCTGACGTCATGCATGTCATATAGATAGGATGATGCATAGTGTATTTGTAGCTGGCAAGGAGCTAGTGACGTCAGAATTTCCTAGAGTTGACGTCATCAAAAAATGTTGAGATCATAATCTATAAACAGAAAAGTGATTTCTATATGATTGGCTATTTGCTATAGTCTTCTGATTAGATATTCTTTGCTATAGTCTTCTGATTGAATATGGTAGAAACTGTTATGTGTTCAAAATAAAAGCTGGCAAATTTTGAACGTGTTACCTTTGCAGATTATACTAAATGGAAAATCTTTAATCATTAAATTATTTTCACTAAAAATCGGTGATAAACAAAACCAAGACACGGAGGTTAACTGAAAAATCGTTACTTCAAAAGAAGGGAAAAGGAGGTTAAGCGAATGCGAAATCGTACTAATTTTTCGGCCAAAACATGAAAACGAGGTCGAAGCTCAGCGAAGCGAAACACTGCCTATCAAGCAAAAATATCAATCTTTGTTTACTGGACTCTGTAGAAAGTATTGCACAGGGTATGAAAATTCTATAGAAAACAACAGGTGGTTCTAAAGTAAACCCTAACTCTTTGGGTTCTTAAATAAACCACATTCTTGTTCCTAATGAGTGGAAAGTCTATTTATAAAAATAGGAATAAGAGGTACGATCGCGTAGCAACACATGTCTTCTTATTTAGCGCTAAAAATCGGATATATAAAAAAACACACACACATACAAAAAGTGGAGCTGAAAACTCTCTACTTCAATTCTGACTCAACATTACAAAAGCGTTTTCTCCGTTCTATCTCGAGGAAACTCAGCGCTTGGTGAGCTTATGGTCTTGTCAATTCACGCGCCGTTTGCGTTAGTCAGTTAATTATGCGGGTTAACAAGCCCAAAGTTGAATACAAATTAGTTCATCTATACAGCTAGACCCAAGGGAGTACCTTGACGTATTATTGTAAAAACACAAACAATTAATAACTTAACAAGGATCAATTTAAACACTCGACAAATAAATTGACAAGACACGAGACACAGTTTAAAAACTTTATTGAAAACCAGTGACAAAAAGAGTCAAATACACAGCGATTTGTAAGGGATGGAAATTAGACATCCTCTTCGTTCTCCTCTTTAGAAGGTGAATAAAAATTGGTTTCCAACGTCTTGGCGTTTTTGTGTGTAATTAATCCACAATCGTGACACCGAAGAAAGCCCTCTTTGATGTATTATCTCTCCTCGCGGATCTGGTGATCGCATATAGGACAAATCTTGTAGTTATCGTGCCAAAAGCATTTAGGACATTTCATTATCAATGTGGAGTACACATTAGAGTTTTCGCAATGTTCGTAGGGACTTTGAGAGTGAAAGGTGGTGGACGTTTCAGGGCTACTACTTTCTGTTTCCTCACTATCGTTTTCAGTGTCGTTGTCGCTCTCTTGGGTGCCTTCAGTTTCTAAGCCATTCTCAGAAGCCACTTCCTCCTCCTCCTCCTCCTGATTTTCAATATCCGATGAACTTTCCTCATTATTACTCTCATTATCGGTTTTCTACATTTCGATAGCCTTTTTCCTTTTCTATTAAATCACTTAAGAACTTTTTGTTCTTGATTAAACCTT